AAACTGTACTCACACAGTAAACAGATTATTGAGGCTATATTGAGGGCCCTTTTGTTTCTATAGAACTCCTTGCCTAACTAAATCAGTCTTTAATTCACTATCTTCTGCTTTCTGAGTTTCCTTTTAACTTTTTAATCTATTGTTTATCTCAGAACCAGAGTCAATAAGTCTACTTTAGTTTTTTCTTCCTCATCATCACTCATCAACTCTTAAAAATAAAGCTTTATATGGATTTTTTTAAATACATCTAAATAAGTATGTAAAAAGTAAGCTCAAACTAAGGGATATCCAGGAAGATCTATACAATGGAGGGTAACAAGAAGGGCCTGATTTCTTTTTTTCCACAAATAGTATGTAAATATATACAATTATAGAGGTATAAGAGAAGCTACTGAACTATAGTTCTTGGCACCTACAATAAAAGCAGAAGCAGGAATCAATTTCAGAATTGCAGTTATCTGAAGGGTCAGTAGCATGGTACATATATCATGATACTCTTTGTTGTTATTGAGTCATTTCAGTTGTGTCCTGCTCTCCATGACTCGACTGGGGTTTTCTTGGCAAAGATAATGGAGTGCTTTGCCATTTCCTTCTCCAGCTCATTTTACAGATGAGGAACTGAGGCAAACTGGGTTAACTGACTTGCCCCAGGTCACACAACTAATAAGTATCTGAGGTCAGATTTTAACTCAGGTCCTCCTGACTCTAGAGCATGCACTGTATTCACTGCACACCACCTGAGCTGCCCCAAGATACTATATGCAAAGTTACTAATGGGTTTTTACTGTATTAAAATAGGAGTTAGACTTTAAAGAAATAACTCATCTAAGACAAGGTTATTTAAACTAATAATCAACTATATTTAAATTTCTGCTAGTAAGTAAGCACACAGAGATAGTATGGCATAATGGATAGATAGCTGACCTTAAAGCCAGGAAGACATGTTCAATTCCCACTTGGGACACATACTGACTGCCAGACGCAAGACAAGACACAATTTTTCATGGTGCTATAGGCAACCCTCTAAAGCTATAATGTGCAGAGAAGATTCTGCTATTGGTAGAGGTAGTTTCCTGATCTAGGAGTTCTCTTTATCAATGAAATAACAGATCTAGTCTTTATCTCCTAAATATAAAGTCAACAACATATGATTCTATACTGGTCCAACTACTGCCTGCTTTTTTTTCAAATATGGCTCATAAAACACTTAAGTACAATCTACTACTGACTACAATTTGTTTTTCTCTCTCTAGCTCAACCATCCGGAGTTAAGAAGCAAAGGTCCAGTGTAGAATTTACAGCGAGTCTGAACAGGCCTGGGGGGGTGGGGGGAAGGCGGGGAGAGAGGGAAGGGGAAAAGGGAATTTTCTAAAGGTGTCTTGTTTGCCAACCCTAGAGGGCCCCTAACCTAAACCTTTCCCTTTGGTGCTAGTTCCAGAACACAACTCTTTACGCACCTTCTCAGCCTTCCAGATAACACACAATTCTTTTTTGTTTAATTTATTTCATTGTAAATAGAGTTTCAGGTACTATTATGGAATATATAAAATGATTAGTAAGCCAAGCATGCTGTCTTTGAGAGGCTTACTGAATTTAAATACTAAGTTAATAAGAGACAACATATTCTATGATCAGTGGTCACAGTCACAAAACTTCTGGGCCCAGCTGCCCCAGAACTCTTGACTTGTCCTTCCTGACTGTATCCATGGGCTATGTGTAAACCTTGCTAACACCCACTCAGCCAATTATTTTCTTTTTTAAAAAATATTAATTTTTTATATTTCAGTAACTTTTGTTTTTTACATCACTTTATTTACAAATAAACAACCTTCCCTAACCCCAGCCAAAAAAAAGAAAGCATATCTGACTCTTGCCCTAAAAGAAATATGTAGCTAATTGCTGAGTACTGACACGGTCGAGTAGAGATGCTATAATTTCTACAATTGATCAATGAGATAATATATATAAATAACTTCAACATTAATAGTTTAAAACCTGGCTGAATGCCAAACTATCATAATGCGTATGGTAACTGTGATAAAGTATACCTGTCTTTTGACCCATCTGTCTTATGTACCTCATTTGTGCCAAGAGTAAACATTAGAAGAATATTAAAAGTAAAAAGAACAAAAACTAAGGCATATGACTAGCCATAAGGCCATGTCTGAAATTATAATATTTGAAGAGATTTAATGGAGGTTTCAAGGAGAGAGCGATCAAAAAATCTCAACAGTTTTAATGGAAAATAAATCCTATGTGTTTCTTCTCCCTTTAACAACACCCATAACTTAACACCCTACCTCATCACAAAAATCTACCAGGATTTTAATATCAAAGATCTACGACACTTATTAATGGAAGATTCTGGAAGAAGTCTCTTTACGCAATTTGTAAAAACTAACTTTAATTTTAAAATAACCATTTCAGGTTATTTTAATGAAACAATGAATAAAAATTTGAACTAATTTTTAAAACAAAGACTCAAATGGGCCCTCAAACTACCAAAATTTAAAAATCATTTCATAATTACAGAATTACATATATGTGTATGCATGTATACATTTTTATGTAGAGGCATGTGTTATGCATGCATGTACACATAATACACATATACATACAATTCTGGGGTCATTAAATATTTTGGATTATTGAATATTATGTTACTTAAATATTATAAATTATATAAATATATTATTATTAAATTTATACATACACACAGGTGGGGCAGCTAGGTAGCACTCTGTGTGTGCATGTGTGTGTATACACACACACACATATACACATAGGGCAGCTAGGTGGCACTGGGAATAGAGCGCTGGGCCTAGAGTCAGGAAGACTCATTTTCCTGAGTCCAAATCTGGCCTCGGACACTTAATAGCTTTGTGACCCTGGGCAAGTCACCTAACCCTGTTTACCTCAGTTTCCTCATGTGCAAAAGAGCTGGAAAAGGAAATGGCAAACCACTCCAGTATCTTTGCCAAGAAAAGTCCAAAGGCATCACAAAGAGTTGGACACGACTGAAAAACAACTAAACAAGAACAAAAATACATACACATACTGTGTGCAAGTATATACATATATATTTAGATAGTATAACAGAAATCTTTGTACATCTTATTCTAACATCAATTATTGTTGATATCAGGTTATTTATGAATAGGTAAGTGGCTCAGCTGTATTACACTGGCCAAAGAGATAAAAATGTTTAAGGAAAACTGAGAAGAAAGGGTAGGCATAATAAAAAAAAAAAATGTTCTCAGAACCAAGAAGGACAGCCCTCTTCACCATGTGTACCAGTGACCTTTAGTGAATTGGCTAGCCACCCCCCCCCCAAAAAAAAGGTATGTGGGATGTGTTGCAAGACCTCTATCCCTCAGAAAAGACAACATTTTGAGAATCAGAGTTACACTAATCTTAAGAGTATTTCTCAAGTACTGGGGGGACAACAGGAGGGGTTATCATATTCCCCTGAGCTAAGTGGTTATTTCAACTATGTCCTCACTCTACTCAGATGCAATATGAAAATGCTCTACAAAAGAAGCATAAATTAGAATTATTCTCAGGTTTTACCTCCTAGCTTTCATTTTTGCAAAGATGACAAACAACAAAAATGGTCAATAATGGAGAAGCTGTGAAAAGGCAGGTACACTAACACACCACTAGTGGAGTAGCAAACTAGCAAAATTACACCACTAGCAAACAATTGTTAATTATACCATAAAAGTCATTCATCTGTACATACCCTTTTACTCAGAGATTCCCAAGGGAATCAAAGAAAGAAAAGTCTTATTATATATGTGTGCATATGTATATGCACATAAATATGAATATTTCATACACACGTGTGCATATAAGTAAATATTCATAGCAGCACTTTCTGAAACAGCAAAGAACTAGAACAAAGCAGATGCCCATTAAATAGGGAACAAATTCTGTTGTATGGATATATAATGGACTAATATCACACTGTAAGAAATGACAACTATCAAGAGTTCAGAATGAAGTTGGCAGTGACCACAATACTATAAAAGAAAACAACACCAAGACAATACAGGGATGATTTGACTCCAGAGAGCCAGCCGACAGTGAAGCATTTCATCCACTTCTCACCAGAGAAATAGTGGACTGAAGTATGGAATGAAACATACATTTTCAGGTATACATTTATTGATTAGTTTTGTATAACTATACTTTTTTTTTTTTTTTTTTTACAAAGGAAGGTTCTTTTGAGAGAACTAGGGGGAGTCACTGGGAAGTGTTAACATATAATAACAACAGCTAATACTTATATAGTGCTTGCTATGTGCTAGACACTGTTCTAAATGCTTTACACTTATCTTATTTGATCCTCACAACAACCCCTGAAAGATGGTGCTATTACGATCACCATTTTATTGAAGAGGAAGCTGAAGCAAACAGAATTTCAGTGACTTGCCCAGGTCACAAAGCTAGTAACTGTCTGAGGTTAGATTTGAACCCAGGTGTTCTTGATTCCAGGCATAATACTCTATCCACTGTACTCCCTAGCTTCCCAAATATAAAAAGAGCATCAATAAGACATTTTTTAAAAGAATCAAAGGTGAGATCACCTAAAGTATTATAATGAGCTCTTTCCCAGGATGTAGTAAAGTAAGAGGAGGTGAGAACTGTGGGAGAACAAAGGTATACACATAAGAATACTCTTTCTATGAGAGAGCCTCATGTTAATAAAAGCTTTCTGAATTCCACCTCTATTGATTTGGCCATTTTGAGGCAGAATATAGGTCCTTATATTGCAAGAGAAGGCAGTGGTTATAGCTTTAATGTCACAACTAAGCAGAAACTTCTGGTTTAAGGGGAAAGAGAAACTTCTAGCAAGAAGAAAGGACAACTGAACCCCACCCTACTCCAAAATGGTTACCATCTTTAATCCTGGCTGCCAATGAAAGGAGCAATAACTCCTTATAAAGGCAGGTACATGGAGTGATAGATAGAGTGCTAGATCTAAGAGTCAGGAGTACCTGAAGCCAAATCTCATCCAGACACACTAGTCTTTTAACTCTCAACCTCAGTTTCCTCATCTGTAAAAAAAGGATAATAATAGAACTTAATAATATAATAATAATTAACACTTAAAGAGCAATTTAAAGTTTGCAAAGGGTTTTCCAAATATTATTTCATCTTATCCTCCTAACAGTCTTGGGGCAGCTAAGTGATACAGTGGATATAGCTCTGGGCTAGACCCAAGTTCAAATCTAGCCTCAGACAATTACTAGCTGCATGATCCTAGGCAAATCGCTTAACCTGTATGCCTCAGTTTCCTCACCTGCAAAAGAGGATAATAATAGCACCTACCTCCCAGGGTTGTTGTAAGGATCAAATGAGATAATATTTATAAAAGTGCTTAGCACAGTGCCTGGCACATAGTAAGCACTATATAAGTGCAAGCTATTATTATTATTAGGTGCTATTGTTATCTCCATTTTACAGATGAAGAAACTAAGGCAGAGGTTAGATGACTTGCCTAGGGTGTCACAGCTACTTATCGTCTAAGGTAGGACTGGAACTCCAGGTCTAGCACTCTATTTACTGTGCTACCTAACTTATTTCACAGGGTTCTTGTGAGGATCAAATAAGAAAGTCTATGTAAAACCATGTGACAAAACTTTTAACATGTTAGTAATTATTATTACTATTACAGTGGAATTCTTCAGTTTATAAAGATATGTCACCACAAAAATGTCAGCTTAGCTGGCATGCTTACTGCTAACCAGTAGCTCAACCCCTGACTCTCACCAAGCAATGATTCTGCTTCTCCTGACCATCAACCCCAGACACAAGAGACAAACATCATATCCATGCTCCCCATATAAACGCACTCCCATTCTTTAAGCCAAAAGAACAGTTCACCAAAAAAGGATTTTCTCTCTCCTAGAGAAGAAGTGATGCTGCTTAGCAGCAAGATATGCACCTTGCAGAAGCTTTATTCCAGGCACTAGATTTCTCATAATTTTAAGAATTGGGTTGCAGTCCTATTTCCATCTGTTTTCAACCAACTGTACTCTATATTTATTTTTTAAAATTTTCTTTACTTTATTAGCATGGAATACTGGAAAGTGATTACATACTTCCAAAATCTCAACTTCACTTTTTGCTGATTTCCATAACAACACATCACTGAAATTCTGCTTAGATAGCATAACATGCTAGATACCAGTATTTTACAACCTATTTTATACTACAGGTAGTAAATTGTATTTTTTTATCTTCTAAACAACATACTTCCTTAGTTACACACACAAATGAATTACATGTTGTTATAACAGTAACAGTGCAAAAATGTTCTGGTCTGCTGGTTTCCAAATGTTTCTCACATTTCCTTCTAAAGACAATTAACTTGAAATTATACTTACTAATAAGAAATGCAACAAAAAGGGGGCAGAGCCAAGACGGCAGAGTAAAGGCAGGGACGAGCCTGAGCTCTCCCCCAAACCCCTCCAAATACCTTTAAATAATGATTAAATAAATTCTAGAGCAACAGAACCCACAAAAAGATGAAGTGAAACAATATTCCAGCCCAAGACAACTTGGAAGGTTGGCATGAAAGGTCTTGTTACACCAGTGTGAGAGAGGAGCACAGGCTAAGTCAGCACAGACTAGGCCCCAGCAAACCAGAAGCAGGCCTCAGGGCAACTGAACCAGCAGCAACAGTGGTGGTTTCCTTACCTCTCAGTCCACAGACTCCAAAGACAACTTAGAAGGTCAGTAAGAAAGGTCTATCACACCTGGGTAAGAGTAAAACAGTCCAGCACAGCAGGGCCCCAACAAACCAGGAGCAGGCTTTGGGAGCCACTCAATCAGCAGCAGCAGTGGCTGCTTCTGGAGTTCTCAGCCCACAGAAGGCAAGGGGGTTGAACAACTAATCAGAAGGAGATTACAGGGGTCTCTTTACTGGAAATTAAGGGCAGGATTCTGTCCCAGAGAAAAAACTGATGGTGTCTAAATACAGAATGAAACATACTATTAAATTTTCTTTTTCTTGAGGCTTTTTTGTCTATGTTTTCTTTTACAACATGACTATTATGGAAATGTTGTGAATGACTACACATGTGTAATCTATATCAAACTGCTTGCCTTCTCAATGGGGGGGTGGGGAAGGAGGAAGGGAGAGAATTTGGGACTCAAAGTTTTAAAAACAAGTATTAAAATTGTTTTTACATGTAACTGGAAAAAATAAAATATTAAATAAATTAAAAAAACAAACAAAAGAAAGAAAGAAATGCAACAAAAAACACAGCTAATGAAAGCCAGGAGGCGAGTTATCTATTTAAAAAGTGTGGACCACATTTCTGATTTCTTCTCTCTTACGTAACAAAAATGGCTAATAATGGCATTCCGTGTTACTCTTCTTTTCACAATAACATACCAAAATGTAAACACCATGCATCTACAAGGCATTTTCTTTTTAATCTAAACAACTGAGTTAATAAAGTAACAAGTAAGGGAAGGTCCTATTTAGAAGATCATGAGGCTATGAGTAGAAACTCAGATGCTAGTTCAGGGGCTGCCACATGACCACACCTTTCTAGGCCTTCGACTCCTCATCTTAAAATAACTTACTGTTAAGAAAAAATGAAACTTTTTACAGGAGTAATGCTTACATTCATAACAACATACTATGATGAGAAAGTTTGAAGAAATAATTTCAACTATAGTTAAAACGACAGGAAATATAGGTAATCAGATAACTGAAACAATTCATATGAAAATATTTCAATGTGTATTGGTTCAAGATTTTTGTTACATTTCCCCCTCAAAATAATATTTAAAGTTTTAAAAAGTTTTCACGACTCCAAGATAAATAAAAACAAAATACTATTTTAAAAGTTTGCTGATCATTATTTTCTAGTGATATTAGTTGTGGAGATGTGCTCATACTCTAAACTACAATAATAAAAAAGCAAACTCAGCAAAGCGGCTCTAGGGCAAAGCTAGAGGAAAGAGTATTGGATTTGGAGTCTAAATACCCAGCCCTGGAGTCCCAGGCCTGAAACCTATAAGCAGTAGGATTTGGGGCAAATCTAATCTAGGAAAATGAAGGGTGAGAACTGTGTGAGAGAGTATACTTGAAAGTTTCATAAATTATACACAAATATTAAAAAGTAATGAATAAATATTAAAAGTTGCAGAATGGAGAATGTAGTTCAAATAAAAGAACCAAGCACAATATAATCTGTCCCTAATTAGAAAAGGTTCAAGAAGATGTTCAAAGAATAGGAAAGAAGCCAGGAATCTCTCCATAAATAGGCAAAGGCTATACACAGGTTCTAAAAACCATTTGAAATCCAGAGTTAAATCTTCCTCTATAAGCAGAGCACATTCTAGGTAATGCTTTGGGCCTCAAAGTTTGGCATGAGACTCCAGAGTAGTTGTAGAGCAGAAAGCAAGTCCCCGAGTCCTAGTTACCACCCTCTTCTTCTCTGACCACAGGATCTCAGAACTAAAAATGCCCTGGGTCTTCACAAGCCAAAGAAGTAGGCAGCCCACACCAAATCCATACTTCAGCATTACAAGACCCCAGAAGATAAGGCCTTGATCAGGGAGCAGCAGCATGTTGTAGTGAAGAGAACAATGAACATGGCAATCAGGAACATGAGTTCAAATCCCACTTTAGATGCTTACTAGTTATATGATGATGGGGGAATCGCTTAACCTTTCTAAACCTCAGTTTCCTTATTTGCAAAATAGGGATAATAATAGTACCTACTACCTAGCACCTACAGGGGCACATAAGCAGTGCAGTGGATACACCACCAGGCCTGAAGTCAGGAAGACTCATTTTCCTGAGTTCAAATCCAGCCTCAGACACTTACTAGCTGTGTGACCCTGGGCAAGTCCTTTCACTTTCTTTGCCTCAGTTTCCTCATCTGTAAAATGAGCTGAAGAGGGGCAGCTAGATGGTGCATTGGACAGAGCACTGGCCCTGAAGTCAGGAGGACCTGAGTTCAAATCCGGCCTCAGACCAAACACTTGACACTTACTAGCTGTATGACCTTAGGCAAGTCACTTAACCTCAATTGCCTTAAAAACAAAAAACTAAAAACATGAAAAGTAAAATAAAATAAAATGAGCTGAAGAAGGAAATGGCAAACCACTCCAATATCTCAGCCAAGAAAACCGCAAATGGGGTCACGAAGAGTTGGACATGACTGAAATGACTCAACAGCAACTATCTTCACCAGACTTGTGAAGATTTATTTGCAAATAAAGTAACAAAGAGCTTTACAAATTTTAAAGCATACTACATAAATACCAGATATTATTATCAACTGATAATTCTTCATGATCAAGAACATTGAGTCTTCCTCCCCTTAGCCCAATAACCTAGAATCAAGAACCAGTAAGGTGAAGCTTCTCTCCCCTTCCTACTTCTTCCCACCTCTATCCACCTGACACTGACACTTCTACTTACCCACTCAGAAACCATCCTTGTCATCATTTCTTACGACACAATAAAATGCCATGACATGCATGTGTCATAAATTATTCAGCCATTCCCCAAGTGAAAGGCACCCTTTCAGTTTCCAATTCTTTGCTACCACAAAAAGAGCTGCTAAAATATTTTTATACACATGGGGCCTTTTCCTCTTTTCCTGATCTTTTCCTTTTCCCCCTGATCCCTAGCTGTTGTATCACTGGGTCAAAGGGTATGCACAGCTTAATCACTTTTGGGGCATAGCTCCAAATTGCTTTCCAGAATGGCTGGACCAAGCTCCACCAGGCGCATCTAGTGTATCTGTTTTCCCACAGTCCTTCAAGCATTTGCCATTTCCCACCCCTTTTGTTTTTTTGCCAATTTGACAAATCTGATGGGTGTGAGATAGTACCTCGGAGTTGTCTGAATTTTTATTTCTCTAGTTAGTAGCGATTTCGAGCATTTTTTTCATATGATTATTGATAGCTTGGATTTCTTTCTCTAAGAACTCATTAGTAATATACTTTGACCACATCAACTGGGGAATGGCTCTTATTTTTATAAATCTGAATCAGTTCCAGGGCAAGATTTCCTAACCTAGTAAAG